TTTCATAAAGGATGCATAAAATTTTATATTAAGTTGATATTCAAGTTTTGACTTTGACTAAGTTTAGCTACTTTAAAAAAATTGATTACCGACTACCATTGCACATTTGAGACTCACTTCACAACCAGCTCATGGAGTCATCAAAGGAAAGTCATGGTTCATCAAAGGAAAGTCATGGTTCACAATTGATCCTAAAAGCTAGAGATTTGGATAAATATATGCACAGATTTTAAATGCTAATTTAATTCTTGCAGCTTTCCCCGAAAATTTGATCAAAAAATTATAATATTTGACTATAATTAAATTGAATCGATTAAGAATTCAAAAATTGTACGTCATAATGAGATTTTCGCTTATGATATTTATACAAGACTTTTCTCGAGATTTCGATGAAAGAATGTTTGATTTTACAACTGTGTTTATTGATGTACATTTTCTTCCTCTTCATAGATTCAAGCAACCAGGATTGAAATGCTGATTCAAGTTTAGAAAAGAGCGCATTTTAATTTAAGTCTTTTCAATGAACTTCATTTACGACATTTGAGATATCACGCCAAGTTAGAGTGTCATTGTTAAATTCCTTAACTAGTGGACTTTAGAATAAAATATTAATTTACAGAATGAGAGACAAAACACGGATAGTGAAACAATTTTCACTCACGAATCGGAATGAAAAAGTCTATATAAAAAGACTTTATGTCCAATGTCGAAAAAATAAATCATCTGAAGATTCACATGTGCACACACAAGTTCATGTACAGTATCTCAATCTTCTTATCTTTATTTCTTCATCGATTTGAAATAAAAAATGTTCACGAGAAATCACTAAATGCTGCTGAAAATTCATTTTATAATGAATGTGACGTTAAGAGAAGAAAGAGAGAGAAAAATAAGTCTAAAAAAATTAAATGTGGGCGTTTTGCCACGCGGAATAAATAAAAAATCTCTCCACATGCTTATTTTTTCTCATTTAATTCTTTTCTTAAAAAAAAACAAAAATGAACCATTTTTATAATTGATAGATTGCAGCACAGACAATGTACATGTATGCATTTATAAATTATTATACTTTTTTGTGACGTATCAGGAAAATATTGCAGACTTTTTACCTTATTTTGATGACAAGCACATTATAATAATACTCAAAGGGTTTTTTCTTGCTAACAATACCTAAATGACTCATGAAATTTCCGTAACAATATTGCCATTATTTTTTGTGCATGTAGTAAAAATAACCGTGCGGATTCATGAATCATAAATTGCCTAAAATTTACGAGTTTACATGTAAAGATGCTGAATCTTTAAGGAAATAATAAGTCTAAATTTATTAAAGACAGAACCAGAAATGTAATAAAGTACAACAGCTGTAAAGTGCATTACGTCAGCTCTATTAAATATAGATATTTGCTGATGCTTTCTAATAATCTCTGTTACGATCAGTTCACCTGACCTAACATACTCAACATCGTAAATATTGTTGCCATTTAGCAGTCAGAAGATGAACAAAGGATTACTGTGAATATATTTCTAAGATTTTACTCTACGAACTACTTGAGATTTAATTGGAAATTTTCGAGAGATTCTAGGAAGTTCAGAGGCTTATTTACATTTAGTCATAAGTATGTATAGTGCAGTCACTGAGTACCAGCATATATGTGTAGAGGCTGAATAATCTAGTCATGGTTTTTAAATAGAAGCAGACACCAGTTTCTAGTTTTAAGGGAATATTATCCTAGATTTTGCCTAGCTTATATCCGAGAAGCTGACTTGAGATTTACTATAATAATTATATGCGAATTAATTCAATGTTCCCTCAAAATTTGAACTTCCGTGATTCTCACACATTTATCTTCAGACTCTAAACTCTTCATTTTAAATTTATCCTGAAGCCATGAAATAATTTAAGAGAAGGAAATCCTTGAGAATAAATTATTCCACTTATCTTTCTTCTATTGTATGTAATAAGCCTGCGATTTCCTACTTTTTCAAAATGACAATGAATTTTTATATCTGCAATTTTTAATTTAAATGAATCTACATGTGGGATAAACTCCAATTAAGCATTTAAGGCAGAAAATTAAGTCGATTATAATAAGGAATTCATTGAATAAATGCAATAACTGATGTTTACATTCATTTGCTCTTCACTTATAAAATATTATAATATTTTGTTATTGTGTCATTTTGTGACAATTTTTAAATAAACTTTTTATTTTGCAAAATATTTTCTTGGAGCACTTCCCAACTTTCTTTGTTCTTGAACTTTTATGGTTTGTTTTAATGGATATGATGATTTTTTTGAGTATGTTCATTGCATTATCGTTTTTTTTTATATTTATATTTTATTAATGACATATGCTCTGCTTCTTAATATTGTTACAACTTAATCTATATGAAGACTTTAACGAACAATCTACACAAAAGCAAAATCCAAACTTTCAAATCTTCCAAACATACCGAATCTACTAAATCAAGAAGAATTGGTTAAAACCAATAAAAACTAAATTTATATAAACATGAATGACCATGAATAGACATGATCTCCAACTGATTGAAATTCTTTTATTGGACACACGTTACAAAGATCAAGAATGTTAATAGCTAAAGGTACGAATTAAGATTAACACAAGAATTCAAGCATTTCTCTAGTTCAAACCGGTCTAGAAAATTAGGGTGATTTTTAATCATCAACAGAATTCAAAACGGATTTAAAATCTAATCGGATTTAATTAGATTTTCTAGAACAAAGCTCCAACCATTGAATCCCACGCTCTCAAAAAATGTGATAAACATAATTTAGTTTTTTTTTTTATTTCCTTTGTTTCGTGCAAAGTGCACTATTGCGTTGCAAAATAAATTATAATTAATTTTATTTACATAGCTTGTGAAAAGTGCATCTACCGTGTTGCGGTAATAGGATTAAGTTACAAATAATTCTACTTGTTACATCAACATTCCAGTGGAAAATATCGAGCGCCAGTGAGAAAACGATATAGGAAAGAAAATTGTCCTCGTGTCGCTACCTTATGATCAATTAATTCCATATAATGCAATATATAAATCAATAAAAAAAAATTCTTGATGATATCAAAAGCAACACCAAAACACGCTCGTATCACAAACTGTTCTTATCAGCACTTAATCAATTTACAAATGCATTCATGGCAATTTACGTTTAGCTTTGCTTTATCACAATATATGAAAGTACATGAGGAAAGGAGAGAAGGAAGAGAGAAGAAATATGAATGAGTGTAAGCTCTATGCTATGTGTGAAATATTATGCAATAATTTTGATCATACTGTGGCACTCTCTTGCCTTTCAATTTCAATTTTTTTTTCCTCCTCTATTTTAACCATCATATTCACATTATTTTGATGGATAACTCAATATAATAAATCGATGCAATTGAGTACTTCTTACTATTCTGCCTTTTTCTGCTAAAAAAGGCAATTATTTTTCATAAATTAAAATGACTGTGAATTGCGGAAATGTCTTTCTTCTTACAAGCTAAACATATCTTGCTGTTAGAAACTTGAGACTACAGACATGACTCTAAAACGCGTGTTATTTACAATGAATCAAAGGCATATAGAAAGGCGTCATTATGCAGTTTAGCATTTAATGAATGAAGTTAAAAATAAGGAAAAAAATTCGTCAGAGTTTTGCAATTGAGTGCATTCATCGTTAAAAGGCGTTTTAAACATGTCTCATTCTTAGTACACGTGAATGCTGAATATTTTTCATTTTGTCTAATTGAATGAATGATTCATTCTGATTGACTTGTTGACATAGCATTTTTGCTATTTGTGAGGTAGAGATATGGCTGGTGAGTCAATTATATCTGTGGAAGAGAAATATAAATCCACAAATACGACTTCAATTCTTAACAATTCTGAGCTGTCTTACAAAGCTGTAGCACATTTAATCTTGAATGTAGACACGCTAGACATTAACAACGGTCATTATGACAGCACATTTTAAGGATATCCCCAAATTATACAAATATTTTAAATTCATCAATCAGCTACAACTCTAATGGATAAATCTCAACAAGCATCCATCAACTTTTCATTTTGATACTTTAACTTAAATTATGCATTCTTGAATGTATAAATCTATCAAAAACCGGCAAACAGAATTACGCTTTGATCATCCGCCTACAATAAATGTTCATACTTGCCATTTTCATCTCTTTTAACATCATACATTTATATTATGCATAGCAATATCGGTTAATGGCCAATGTGTGATTGCTGTTGCTTACTCGTTGAGTGCCAAAACTGTAAATTGTGCATATTTTATTTAAATTTATGCACCATAAATGCATTCTGTCTGTGATCAACTTCGAATGTTATAGGCGCTTCTTGTTTATTATTAGATTTGATGAATATTTAAATGTTTACACTGTAATCTATTTATAAGATTGCGTCATCGTACATACATCCAGTAGAATCTGGTGCATATGAGAATAACATCATTTTCTTTTCCAGTAGTTACGTCTTTATGTAATCATTCTACAGAATGCATTAAGACTTGTTATCAATATAAGGTAGGAACAATAATTTTCTTGCTAAAAGTATATTTGTCATTTATTCTTATCTCGCTGTTAAGTGAATGGTAAAAATAAAGTAAGTCGCCGCAAAGGTATTGAGACGAAAAATTGGTGTCATTTCACTTCCCCGGCTGTTGCTCTTTTTATTTCTCGTAAATATATATGCACACATAATATAATACACGAAATGTAAGGCAAGCACTCGCCAATATTGCTTTTCTCAGTTCAATGGATGTTGTGAGATTAAATTACGTCTATTTATGTTAAAATGACAAATTGGCGAAAATTTTTGTTTGAAGAAAGAGAGACAAAACGAAGTTATGGATACAAATCGACTTATGCAATGTGATATATTTCGTGTTACATTAAGTTTTGTGAATTAAAGCAAAAGAAATAAATTGGGCAATAAGTATCTACAAATTATTATGTCATTCTTAGGACACTCACCTCTTCCTTTCGTTTGAGCCATCTACCGCAAGGGCTTTCCTCTAAAATTTCACTTTCATCCTCAGAATCATCTCCACTTTCTCTTGGTGACTTGTGTTCTGCATCGTTATTACTTGATCGACTGCCCGGCATGACAAAATTTGTAATTGGATATATTGTCGTTTTTTTTATACTTATATTTTGCTTCACTTCTTTACTCTACAAATTATCCTCGACGTTCACAATTTTTTTACGTTTAAAATTGACTTAATTATAATTATACACAAATATTCACACACAAAAACAATAAACAAATCCTTTTGTCACGACCTGCTTACTAAAACTTTGTTTTAACCGCTTTACACTATTTTTCCTTTTTATATTTTATATAGAAATCGATAGCACAAAATATTCTTCCTTTTTAAAAGCCACAAAACTTGTCGTACTGTGAATCGAAATTCTGCCTTATTGTAGGTATTATTTGGTAACAATACGTTCCAACCAAACACAAAATTGTCGTTTTTATTTTATATCCTTGAAGTTGTAAGAGAGAAGAAAAAAAAATATGTTATAAGAATGGATATCAAAGGTAGAAAAGGTAAGAAAAAAAGAAGGAACGCGATTTTTACATGATGTATATATTGGTATATATTTTATGACTTTTGTGAACTTTTGCCATTTTTTAATTATTCTACTTAATTAGTGCGATTACTGCTTTGCTATGAGAATTGATGATTTGCTCGATATAAGGCACGAGGAAAATCTTTTCTTTCTATTTTATTCAATGCGGGACTTAAAAAGAAAATAAATGTCAACGATTGACATCGACTACAATTATATCACAAAGTTTATTATCACTGTCGGCAATTCTACACAAAACAGATGATGGAACCGACATCGAAAAAAAAATGTTGAGTGATGAACGAGCATTTGCACTGAAAAATTTGAATCAGGACTACGGCAATGTAAATTTTAGTCTACAGTTCATCATTCTTCTTGTTACAGAACATGACTCAACATCGATTTTTTTCTCTCTCTCCTATTTCCAGTTTGCGACACATCTTGCCGCATCATATCATTTTAATTCCCGATTGCTTTAAATAAGGAAATTGCTACACGAATGGAATCTGATGAAATTGTAGCATATTTATCACATTGGAGGAAAAACTATTGATTATTTTTTTTTCACCTTTGTTCGGTGCAAATAGAAACTCATTTGTTCGTCTTTTTTTTTGCAACATAGATACAACATTCACAGACTAGGTTTAATAAAAAAAAAATCGACATCATCTTCTTTCTCAATTTCATCGTCATTAATGAATTAATTAAATGCACAATCATTTACTTATATTCATTTTTCATGAAATTGGAACACTCGTCATATTATATACACAAGCGAAAAGTTGGCAACTTAGAGAAACACACTTTTATAGAACAAATTTCTTTTCCTTTCTTCTTCCTCGATTTATTCTCAAATATGTATAATAAAAATTGAAAGTTATATAGCATGTACGGAATGTTTAGCGCACTTCCATTCAAAATTTTCCATTACTTCGTGCCTATCATTTTTGCACTGATTATAGGCAGTATAAAACCCCAAAGCTGATTAGTGTAAACAGTGTCTTATCACATTTTACTACCCGGTACAGAATTCCCTAATTAATATAACATCTACAGCTAATGCATAACATCCAGTAGAATAATTTTTTTCTCTACATAATGCTTTCGAACAGACAAATATACAGGCATAAGCGCCGTTGCTTATGAAGAAAATGCGCTAAGAATTACGGCAAGGAGAAAAATTATTAAGAGAGAATGAATGGATGAGTAAGATATCTTTTTTTGTGTGGAAAGGATGGTCGGAACTGAATTGTTCCTTCACGACTTCTTTTCGCAAGCACATTCCGCACTTTTTAATCTACAGATTATAACGAGTATGTGTCTCTAAGGCCAAATGAATATTTGATTAAAAAGAAGATCCAATTTTTTCCATTACCTATTTTCAAATAAAATCAATTTTTCTCTTAAAATTCACATTCATTTTGTATTAACTTCTTTCTCGTCATTTCTTTTGATCTCATTATCATTCACGGAAATCACTGTAATTAACTTTTTTTGCACTATTAGTGGTTGACTCTATTCGCAAAATCGATTAATTTGAGTTGAATAATTTCGATAATTTTTTTTCTTTTTTTTGCACTACTGAGAAAAACTGAAGTTATACTTTTTCACTTTTTAGCTCTTGCCTTAGTTCATCGCAAGTATACTCGATTTTATTCTGATACTGAGCACTTTCAGAAACGCTTTTACATTACTTATGCTTTTTTGCAGTCTTTCTGAATTGTTTTATTATCGAAATTTAATTTTTGATGTTTTAAAGTTACCAGAGCTCTCTACACAGTCTTTTTGGAGAGATGATTTGAATCGAAACTGACCGTTGGTATTATTTGGAGAGATTTTTGAAAAAGAATTATTAAAAATGAATGCTTGCTGAGCTTAAAATGTCAATTTCACTAAACTAGCTACTTTATTTTCATATGAACAGTTTAACATAAAAAGAACTGCTCAAATTTTAATGGCATTAAAGTCAATCCACGAGAACGTTCTGTAAGTTTACATTGGAAAGTCAAATTCAAATATTATTTATCCGTTAAGAAAATTATGTTATTTAAAAATTTTGGGTTTGTAAATTTTTGAAATTGCTTATTTCTACTCCTATCAATAAGGCTGTATAATGTTGAAATTCCATTAATTAAGTTACTATCTTTTCATAAAAATGACTTTGGGACCATTTATAAAGTAAGGTTAGAAACGGAGCTAACTTCATGCAGAACAATTGTTCAAGATTCCTCAAAACGGGCTACGTGACAAACATGAGAATTATGTTTTATTTTGTGGAAATTTGATGAATTTGCTAGAATGTATAATACAATCACATTTGAATCATGAAGATTGCTTTTTGGATGCAAATTAATATATTTTTCTCATTTTTTATCTTGATTAATTCTTTGGAAATTTCCATTAGCTATCAATCAATTTCACAAATTGCAATCAGAATGATATTATTAGATGATATTTTTTTATTGACAATGTCATGTAATTTATTTAAGCATCGCTAAAAACAGTTCAGATGATCGACAGTTTGTTTATCGTTATTTGATTTTAAGTTTTAAAAAATCATTAACGCTGAACACGTTTCAGTTCTAAAATTATGTAACGGATATATAATTTGAATTCTTAGTTCTCAGCTTTAATTTGAATTTTTAAGAGCGGTTGGAAAGTGTTGAGGAATATATTGAATTTTCCGAATAAGGATGCTTGTTAATTAATGCAATTTTGTGATGCAATCTTGGACTTTTGAGTAACTGTTCTGAATTTTCTTTATTGTCAAATCATGTGATTCTATTAAGAAAAGCATTTCAATGAATCTTTGCAGAAATTGAATTTTCCTAATTATCATAATTAACTTTTGGCTGATATAACAACCCCTAAATAGTGTTGATCTGTTTTCAAAAATCAAAAATTGAAAATTGTTCAAAATTTGAATGAAAGTCTTACCGGATCTTAATATTTGCATCCCCAATGAAAAACAAATTTAAGATGAATTTCCCTTCAAATTTCCGCATCAAAATTCCTCAAAATATCTACAGTGAGGGTTGGAAAATCGTTATACAACAAACAAGGCAATCAAAAAACACAGCTTAATAACTGGTGAAGAATATTTCTATGGACACATCGTTAAGTCATGAAAATGCTCTCTGCTGTATTTAGCAAATAAAACTACGAATTTTTAGAGGGTGAATACGTTATCAATAAATAAAGCGAGAAGGATAGAGTAACAAACAACCCTCCCGTCACAAAAAAAAGAAGGCAAACTCACATTTTCTTCCCTTTTTTCTATCCCCATTTCCTACCCAATATTCTTTCTCGATATATTGCTGTTGCTTCTCGTTAGTTTTTTTTCTTTCTTTCTTTATTTTTCCTCGACTCGAAACAGTATTTCTTTTTTTTTCTTTCCTTCAGTTTATTTTCGGTGACTGAGAGCGAATGACTGTTTTGGTGAAATGTGAATGTGAATTCCCGTATATTCAGATTGAATTAAATTTTATATATACATACATGTATGTTGCATAGGAGAGGAAAAAAAATAATAAAAAAAAATATTATAGAAGAGAATAGATGTTGTCTGCTGCCTGATAAGAGTACTGAAATCACTCGCTTACTAAGCACAAGCATTGATAAACTGCTCCAATTCTTTTCTGTGTCTAGTTTTACTGAAAGATAATTAATTTTTCGTAATAACGAATAGAAATTAAATAATTTTCAGCACACAAGGAAATAATTTTAGCAGTTGAAAAAATCGGGAACCGGCTTAACATAAAAAAGACTAAATAGCGCTACAAATCTATTGGAAAGAACAAGTTTACTTTCAAAGTAAGTAATTTTTCAACTTAAAGTGCTTTTTTTTATCATCAGCAAATTGCATTTTGTGCCTCACAATCGCGAGTGTCATTTTTCATTTAGTGTTTTTTAACTAGAAATATTTATTCTATTGTGATAATTCTATTGTATGTAATACTCCCCATCACATTTTACTCATTCAACAACTTAACTAGTTTCATTTGAATAAAAATAATAAAATCAGTGTTGTTATCTGGATATTTGTTCGGGTCAGCTTGAACTTGACATTTGTATGAAATTAAGTCAAATCCGAGTCGATTAACGAACAAAGTGTTAGATTAATCTATTAACTTGAGTTTATAATATGATTTTCTTAGAGCCAGTGATGAGCAACCTGTAAATTATTTAATTTAGCTAGTTTTCCATGAGGACAAGCAGTACCACTCTCTAATCTTAATAAGATAAATTTCAACTTGGTACGATAATTTGAGAAAAAATTCGAATTTCAAACTCATTAAGTTCGCATTTTAGGAGGGAGGGGGGGGGGGGGGGGGGGGGGTTTGTAAAATTGTAAAAAAATGTAACATAGTGGATGGGGGGGGGGGGGGGGTGGTCAAGAAGTATGTAACGTTCTAACTGTCGTCTGTCTTAAAAAAAAGTTCACGAAAAAAATTTGTTTCCAAATTCATACCATTCTTTTAAATTTTTCACTTTTTTAATGATAAAATAAATTATGAACGTTCAGGGGAGGGGGGGGGTTGTTAGTTGTAACATATTGTAACAAGGGGGGGGGGTTCAAAAAAGTCGTTGTTTTGCGTAACGTAATAAGTGAACGGCCCTTAAGTCAATGCTTAACAACACTGAAATAATGCATCATGCAATACATTTACAAATCAAATTCATAACAGCATAATTTATTCAATCAAGACAGAATTTTAAAATTATTGAAAGGAAACGGAAACTTTTCATTTTACATTCAGTGTTTGTTTAAAAAAATCTAGTAAAATCAATATAGTAACTATAATACTGCATGTGTCCAATCCACAGAAAATCAATTTGAACAATCTTTATAATTTATGTGTAAAACAGCACTTAATATTTGATGAATTCCGCATCATCATTTTCTACCCACAAAGAAAATATAGACGCTCTAGATGTGCTGATTCTTTGATATTTTTCTTTCTGCAACTTTTTGCGAACGAGAAATATTTATGCATGATGAAAAGTTTTTCCAACAAATCGAATGGGATTTGATTTCTCTCTTTTTTTTTGCTAGCATTTTTTAATTGGAATGTGTTTTTATAACCTAATTTTGAGCCAAATATCTTTTGAAGTGCAATGTGACATCGATCAATGTCATCATTAGCGAATTTGATAAGAGTCTTATCAATAAAAGAATTTTGAACTCGAGACGTTTTTGAAATTTACCTAAAGAAATGATAACAGTTTCAAGGCTCAGATTATGGCGAGATTCCTTGAAAGTTATAAATGGTTTATAAATAACGGACGGTCTTAACAAATACAGCCAAGCTTTCAGCCATGCATAGTCGCTAGTATGTTTTATATATTTTCTTACTTGCTTGTTTGTCAGTAGATTGAAAAATACGGTCAGTTTTATATGTTTCAGTTTTTCCAATTACATTTTGAATCCCCATAGTTTCAAAGCCATCTAATGTTAGGAAAAGCAATGACATATATCACTATAGCATTAGCAGAAATGACACTTTTTCCCTTCAATCTATGCACGTAGTATAAACCTAATAATTCCGTCTATCATGTGAAAAAGTTTCATGAGATGCCAAAAAACATAGATACACAGAGAAAAGTAGAAACAAGAGGGGATGAATCAATAAAAGATCAATCTTGTTATGGAAATCAATATGTCTTTTTAAATATTGTAATATTTTCATCTCTTTAAATCTCACGACAAGAAAAAAAGGGGTTGAAGTGCTATCAAATGCGAAATGTAATAAATTAAGTTTATTTGAGAATATCTTGTTATAACGATTGACCTATTTTTACAGTTCGCTTACTTCCTATTCATTTGTGCCATATATTGTATCTCACCGATATCACTCAACCTCCCTCACTCCTTCATTTGTGGGACACATTCTGAAGAGCTTTTGATGTGATATATTTTTATTGTTGCTTGCTTGTATAAAAGATGAAGGAAAAACAAATAAATCTCAAGTGGAAGAGTCGTTCTCATTGTGTACCGACTACCATCATTAGAAAATCGTAAGGAATTATACAAAATATCAATTACTTGATGCGTTTTTAAGCCAGATGCTTGATTGTTCTGATCATTCCTGATCTGAACCTTATTTTGATGGATCCAGTCATAGATTCGATCTAATTTTGCATCATTCATGATCCAGTGACGTAAAATCACTGAATTTACAAAAAATTCTGATTTTGAAACTCTTCAGAAGATGGTTCCTTAATTTTTCTTATGCCTAAAGATCAAAACAATCATTTCTGATCATTTTATTCCTCAAAATACTCTAAATAAACACATTAGTCGCTTTGGAAACGACACAGCTGGTCATAATGTTTACAACTCAAAGTTCACACTCTGTTTGATCCTACAAAAAGCTCTATATTTGCTATCTCATGTACTGAATCGTTAAGTGTTGAGAAAATGCCGCAAGTGTTTTCCCATCCATCTCATGTTACTGCTTCATATGGTTTTTTCCTTTACCATAATACTGATGTATCTACTCTTATGGCTGTTTTTGTTGTCAATTAAAAGGAGACTTGTAGTATAAAAATTAAGAATCATGTTGAGACCGTTTCAACTAAAGGGGCTGTTGAGATCTAATGACTACAAATAAGTTGAGTTTCTGTACAGACCATCTGTCTCCTTGCATTAGAACTAGCTACGCTTCTATTGCAAAAAAGAAAATGAAGGAAAAATCTAGTTTGTTGGATATCTTAATAAGTGAATGACCCCATTAGTATCAAGTTCATTTTTCATCCCATAAGAAGATCCATCCGAC